AATTACAAATATTTTTTTATACTAAGGTACCTATACATACAAACTAAAATATATTAGCACTTCACCAGTGGCCTTTCTATAGGGCAAAATATACAGATTAATTTATATTTCAATCGTGGGGTCAGAAAACATTTATTAAAATAATATCTTTCCATATCGAAAGTTGTATATTACGTCAAATGTCAAACATCAAACATCAGATGTCAAAATCAGTAATTTTTAATACTGTTATATTAATATTGATAATACGTTTTGTTAGGTTTAAATTTTTCAAAATATTTTAATCGTATTTATATTTTAGATAGAAAGTATTTGTAGCCTACGCACCCAGGCTGTAATTTGCCTGGTAAGAGCCCAACAATATAAAAGATATGTTACGAAATAGTCCAGTAAATCGAATTAAAAAAAAAACTATTATTAAGAACGCATCAAATTTGCAATTTATAAACATATAAACCATAATTTTCGATTAATTTTTACACACATTCAATATGGAAAGACTATTTCTATTCTCATTTACAATCTAAATAATATACATGGCAGAATATATCCAAAAATTAATTTTATTTGGTTTAAAAGGTTAAATATTTTTTTTATAATATCCTACAGGCGTTGCGTATAACGTTTTTCTTCTTTTTTTGTTTATTAGGTCGAAGAACTATAGTTCCATTGTGATTTTTGGAAGTATGACTAGGGCTAAAAGCACCTGAAAATAATAAAATAATGAATAATTTTTACTATAGTGTAGGGATAATTTGTAGTACATTATTTACCGGACTATAACATTATATTATAGTAAAGGCCGTTTTGCGAGACGTCAGTTAAGTGACGCTTAATTAGTGATGACGTAATTTTGATTTCACTGAAAATTACAGTGACAGTATTTTTTTGTATGTATATTTTCTTTTTTTTGGTGTCATCGGCATCGACTACTAAGGTCATTAGTCTCGTATGTATATTGTTTTTAAATTTTTATAAATATATTTCTAGAGTAAGCAAATAACATGCATAAGTATATAATCATTTAGTAACCCAATTACATATTTTTAAACTACTTTTTATATCAAATATTTAAAAAAAAAATAGTAAAAACGTATATGTCAATTATTGTTAGAAGTATGGTTGTTAGCATTAACTGTCAGTGGAACCAAAATTACGTCACACTTTTATAGCGTATATCCCAAAGGTCTACTTTACAAGAAAATTTTGCGAAATCAAACACGATTTTATTTTACTAGTTATAGTACGGGAAATTTCAAAAATATTTTGGAAAACTTACTGATGGTGAGAGAATCGTGGAAAGCGGTGGGCGGCATGAAATAATCATTGTCCCGAGGATCCCGGAGTTCCGCAAGGCACTTGGAGGCGAGGTGGCGAAAGACGGCTGCTACATTGATGTCTTCTTTGACGGAAGTGCGAATGAGTCGACATCCTAAGGCTCTGGCGAGGAGTTCGGCTTCTTCTCTATAGAAAACAAATAAATATTTATAAGTTATACGTATACTATCGGCCACTGAACGTTTTCCAATACGCTTTGCACAAGTATAATAATAATAATATTTATTCGGCTTTGAGACATACATATTTATATTTTAAAAAGGTTATTATCCTTGTCAACACATACAATTTTAAAAAGTAGAGACATGCTACAATTGAGTTTAAATTCTGAATAGGAATATGTTTTGGACGAAAGATATGCATAAAGACTATTTTTGAATAGATTAAAAATTTTTTCATTACCATTGACTTGAGTATATCTATTAAAACATGCAAAACCTCTGTAGATTTCGGAATTCTGTCCAACTGAGAGTCTTGAGAAAGACTGCTGTAGATATTTGTGATTGCGTGTGTTATAGTTGTGTGAGTTGTCTATAATCTGATAGTTGGGATTCTTGTTTTTTTATATTAAGTATTAGTAAGTATATATACAAAGATGGAAGTGTTAGGATTTTAAAGTCAAGAAAAAGTTGTCTGCAACTAGTTGTTTTTCATGCCCCAGCCATGCGTCTTATAACTTTTTTTTGTACATAGAAGGCTCGCTCCAGATGAGCTGAGCAGCCCCAAAAAATTAGACCGTATGAGATAATTGATTCAACCAAACCAAAATATGTTAATTTTAAAACATCGGGATTTACAGTGTTTTTTAACTTCCTCATTAGAAAACATGCACTACTTAATTTATTTGATACATGATCTACATGGTTCTCTCACGTTAACTTGCTGTCTAGAATTAGACCTAAGAATTTGCTCGAATTTGTTTGTATCAATCATTGTGTGTATTAAATAACCTGATGGTAATAGCAGATTGTTACAAAACGAAAATTATAAATAATATAAATCAACGATCGCTAAAATAGCCATTTACATTCTTTTTTTTTAATATATACAATAATAATTTAAAATACATGTAGGTACGCTCTGATGAATCTAGCTCTAATGATAACGGTATTTAACGAACAATATTTATAATTTCAAACGTGCCTACCTATTTATCTATAAAAACTTTCTTTGTTACTTCGAACAATGTGTAATTTAGGCGTTAAATTGAACAAAAAAAATATACTTACGGACTAACTACGCCCTGATCTACAAGATCGATTTTATTCTGTACAATCACAGTTGGAATCTCGCCACACTCATTTTCAACCTGCAACAAAAGAAAATGATCTTTTAATATAAATAAATAGGAAAGTAATGAGGATTATACCGTTATTTATTAGTATTAGGAATATCTATATGGAGAACAGTGTTGCCAAATGGAGGGAAGTTTCCCGATTTGCGGGAATTTTTAACACAAAAGGGAAAAAGTTAACTCAAAAAGGAAAAACTTGGATAACATTTAGAAAAGACTTGTTGGTTTATTAATGTAATATATCTAGCCGTAGCCACAACTATAGCCACGGCTAGACAACCGGAGTGAGGTTAAATTAATGTATACTTAAAAAAGGTGAAACTGTACCCAGACAACACACCAAATCCCAGAGATATTCACAGAATATCTTTTGTGGATATCCAATATATCCACAGGATATCAGAAATATTCCGTGGATCTAATATGGATATCCAAATGTCAGAATATAGAAGATATCCTATGGATATTCAGAAAAATATCTAATGAGTATCTTCCAAACAATACAAGAAATCCCAGAAATAGCCACAGAATATATTTTGTGGATATCCAACCAAATGTCTGTCTATATCCCACGATATAGAATTCAGATATTTACCAAAATATTTTATAGGTATCTTTAGTAGAGGTTCATAAGTAACCAATGATTATTGAATAACGTCGAAAGAAAATAGAGATAAAAAATATTTCCAACAATCTGCCTTTGATTTTGCCCACTAAGGAGAAAGTCATCCTTATTAGGACTCTTCAGCAATAAATGAAAATTCTCGACTCCAGTCTCTAATGGAGTCTGATTGTGAAAAAAAATTCGATTGAACTCAATTACGGCGGGTTGAGCATGAGTAGATACGAAAGTGGTATCGCCATCTATACTTAGAAAGCAAAATCAAAAATTACATCTAGTGGATATCCACGATGGTTTGCGTCCGCGCTTAGACTTTGATATATTTAGTGGATGTCCATGGGATATTGAATACACCTTAAAAAAATTAATTTTAAATATCTGAACGGTACTATTAGCCACAATGGCGTAATTTTTTAATAATTTGCTATATAATTACTATTATTTATGGACATTTGCATGACTATAAATTACATTTCATGGATATAAAATAGATATCCACCATGGACTGGACATTCAGTGGATATTGGGATGTTCAGTAGATATCCAAAGGATTTGGTGTGCTGTCTGGTAACTTGTTGAAGCAGTTGAAATAAAGTATAAACTAATAAGTTCTATGTATTTATTTAAATATCTACAACCAGCACTTAGAATAAGACAATTAACAATAAAGAGTGAGGACTTTTTTTTTAGAAGCTGAGCAGAAAGACCTGGCTAACGTGGCATCCCTAAACGGGACAGATTTTTTCATAAAAGTGGAAATTTTTAAGGTAAGTAGAGGGGAAAATCTTATTTCAAGGTTGGCAACACTGATGCACAAACAAAATCTAGAGACAAGACAATGGAGAATTCTCTTCTGAAAATAAAGTACAGAAATAATGAAAAATATCTCACATATATGACAACAGAAAAACATCTTGACAAATTTGTGTGCCTTAAAAATTTATTCTAGGTAGTTAAAATTGAAAAATAAAGTCAGGTATTTAAAGTTTAAAGCCTACGTTTCTCTTTAGACATTTGGCAACAGTGTAAGGTTGTTTCTTAGGGGTTCATTCGTTCTGTTCAAGTTCTGCACTCTGAAAATCGCTTCCATCCTTTTCTGTCATTAAAGATTTCAGAATGTTGATCTAGCCTAATCGTCTTTTCTGTGTTTATTTTCTTTTCTAATTTTGACATTTTTTGTAATCGCAGCAAGTGTCAAAATGGTCTACTTTACGCCAGTGGCGGCTCGTGAGATAGTGCCACTGTGCCATGGCACTACCTTATTTTTGATGCAAAAATATATTTTTTATTTTTAAAACGTCTTATCATATTTTTATTTTATTTTATACATTTCTTTTTATATTCAAAAATTATTTGAAATGTGGCAACCTCGCACTGCATAAATCTCCAAGGTCTTACCGCGTACTAGAGCCATTTCTCAGCTGGCACTAGGGGAGAGAGAGAGAGAGAGAGAGAGATTTTACCAGCAGACTATGTGAGCAACAAAGATTGGGACATTTTACATGTATTTAAACGGTAAAATCAAGGAATGTTTGTGCCAGGCACAGCGCGGAGAGCTGTTCAGATAATCGCGGTTTCTCGATAATGTCGATTGTTGACTGAATTAAGCGAATTTCTTTACGCGCTTTTGTTTTTCGTTACGTTACGAAATATTATTAGTGTCGTTAATGTGTGTCTTTTTGTTTTCGATTAACTTCTTTAAATATATTATTTATTATTTGTACTAGTTTTTAATTTATTGTGACAATGAATAAAATTGGCATCTTAAAAAACTCTTTTAGTGATTTTTCGCTAGAAGAAAAACTACAAATTAAAGAATTAGGCCGGCCAATAAATTGTATAAGGTTTTGTGGAGCTTTAAGGGGTCACGATGAGAAAGATAATTCGGAAAATAGAGGCATATTTAAGGAGCTGGTGAATTTTAGCGCCGAATTAGATAATGACTTAAAGGTTCATATTCAAAGTTCAAAAGCTTTCAAAGATACCTCAAAAACAACCCAAAATGAACTTCTTGAGTGCATGTTAGATGTTTATCAAGAAGAAGTTAGGAAATAAATAGAAAATTCTCCTTTTGTTGCAGTGATTGCCGATGAAACGACGGACGTTGCGTGTAAATTTCAATTATTTATAGTTTCCAGATATTTGTGTAAAAGATGACCAGTTGAGAAATTTTGGAGGTTTTACATGCTCGATGGACACGACGCCAAATCAATCGCTGAATGCGTTTTAAATGTTTTACATCCATTATTAAAACATAGTCCAAATAAATTAATTGCTCAAAGCTATGACGGCGCGTCTGTAATGAGTAGTGGATTAAATGGTGTGCAAAAAATTATTAAACAAACATATCCTCTTGCAAATTCATTCATTGCTATGCACGCCAGATGAATTTAATTCATGTTCTGTCAATAAGCAGGCTAGAATATTTTTTTTCTAATTTATCTGGTTTGTGCTCTTTCTTTTCCACGTCTTCTCAACGAACAAACATTTTGGATGAGGTAGTTAATCGCAGGTTGCCAAGATCTTCCCAAACACGTTGGAATTTTCAATCGCGAGGTGTTCATACTGTTTATAAGAATAGAAAAGATCTCATTACAGTTGTGGACATTATAGAAAGTACTTCACGCAATTCGTCGTCTATTAATCAAGCAAGTGGGTACAAATTGAAACTTCAGGATAAAAATTTTATCTTTTGGTTAAGTATTTTTCAACCAATTACAAAAAGTATGCACAGATGATGTTAAGGTCAAGAAAGATTTGGAGAATTTCGAAGCATCAATTCAAGGTGTACGGGAGCAAATGGACAGCATTATTGACATAAATAAATTTATGTATTATCTTTAGATTTAACATTATCAAATTGAGAAATTTTGGAGTAATCCATTTGCAGTACTAACTTTAAATTAAGTTTTGCTTCAAATGGTGCATTTTAGCGACATGTGACAAGTATACCTTTTTTAAAGCAAATTAAACGCTTTTTCAAAATATCCATTCTTAAAAAAAATCTGAAGTAAATACTAGATTGGCACGCCAGTTTAGAACGCCCTGTTCATGTAATGCAACAAAAAAGCTGGTATTCGTTCGTATTATCCAAAAAAACTTATTTTCGCAAAAGTTAGGTATATTTACTCAAAAAAATATTTGAATTATTGTAAAAATATTGAAAAAAAAATTATTATTATCTCCACCCTGTAACTACTTAAGCAAGCAACATTCTACTAAGGTAAATTGGCATAAATGAACTTATTTTTGTCCAAACTAATCACATCTGAAGTTTGGCCCATTCTTTATACAGTGCTTTTCAGATAAAAGTATCCACCTTAAGTAACTTTTGAAGGACTGATTATTACAAAAAACAAAAAAATACGTCAATTAATATTCGAAGGGGGAGATATCGTGCCATATTTAAGTTTGCTAAAAAAGTCACCCTTTCACCCCTACTATCATCCCTTCAATTTTTTTAAATGGCTTGCCCCATTTTTTTATCCATTTTTGGATTGCTCTCGTTTAACTGATTTCAAAAATGTATAAAACATGGGGATTAAAGTAATTAGTTTACGATCTACAGAATTTTAAATTAAAATAAAATTGAATTGTGCAAAACTTTTATTTTAATGATTTTGTCACAAGCGTTTCCAATGACAAAACGAATATTTCATTTTCAAAATTTATTATAAAAATTGTTCAAAATGTTCACCATTTACTTCCATACAATGGTATAACCTGGATTGAAAAGCCTCCCTGACATTATCGAACACGTGTGCATTTAAATGTAGGCATTCATACTCTATTCTTTGTCGTAAATCTTCAAAAGATTCTGGTTGGGTAGCATAAATTTTTGTTTTTAAATAACCCCATAAAAAGAAGTCTAGAGGTGATAAATCCGGTGATCTAGGTGGCCACTCCATCATCGAGCCTCTTCTACCTATCCAACGATTGGGGAAAGTTTCATTTAAAAATTGTCGTACTGGCAAAGCAAAATGTGGAGGCGTTCCATCCTGTTGAAAGACAAGTAAATCTTCAGAAAGATTATGATAATTTTCTATTATTGTTGTAATACGTGGATCAATTACTTCTCTCAATAACTCAAGATATGACTCTCCATTTAAGTTTCCGTCTAAAAAGAAAGGTCCGACTATGTGGTCACCTAGGATACCACGCCATACATTTAACTTTTGAGGATTCTGTGTGTGGTATTTACGCACAACATGTGGATCACTCTCAGCCCAATATCTGCAATTATGTCTATTAACTAAACCATTAACTGAAAATGTGCATTCATCCGAAAAACAAAGGTTGTGCAACAAATGTGTATTGTCAGTCAAGCGCGTCACAAAATTCAAGACGACGATCAAAATCATCTTCATACAACTCTTGAACCAATTTAATTTTGTATGGATGGTACTTATGCTTGTGTAATATTCGATAAACTGTGGAAGATGAAACACCTACTTCTCTGCTTATTGTTGTCAGTGACTGTGCTTGTTGATTTTCAAGACTTACTTGTCCTAAAACTGCGACTTCAATTGCTTCGTTATTTACGAGTTCCAGTCGGTTATGTTTTTTATTGCCAACTGACCCGGTTGATGTAAATTTATGCATAAGATCAATTACACACTTATGAGTTGCATGACCTCCTTGGTGTGTTTTTCGTTGAAAATTCTAGCAGCAGCTCGTGCAGAACTGTTATTTTTGTAGTATAAACCTACAAGTTCAATTCTTTCTTGTAAACTGTAAACCATTTTCAAATCAAATAAATAACCTCAACAAATCAATGTGCACATGTATCAAAATACACTATAAAAGTAATTTAAATTCATTTTTCAAATCTCCAATACCTTTACCATGTATCATAAAAAACTTCAACAAGTTTTTAGCGGTACGATTAAGGTATAATGTATTCTAAATCCAATTTTGCTGCAGTCAGTAAGGTGAGATGTAAAAATTTGTCATTCAAATAATGGAACCCTGTAGACTGTAGATCATAAACTAATTATTTTAAACCCCATGTTTTATACATTTTTGAAATCAGTTAAACGAGAACAATCCAAAAATGGATAAAAAAATGGGGGAAGCCATTTAAAAAAATTGAAGGGATGATAGTAGGGGTGAAAGGGTGACTTTTTCAGCAAACTTAAATATGGCACGATATCTCCCCCTTCGAATATTAATTGACGTATTTTTTTGTTTTTTGTAATAATCAGTCCTTCAAAAGTTACTTAAGGTGGATACTTTTATCTGAAAAGCACTGTATAGGGTATTTCATATATGCGAATATTTAAGGTTGTAAATCTACATGAAAATTTCTCGGACAATACCTACACTAGTTGTTAATTTTTGTTTACTTTTTTACTTAAAAACATAAAAAACTAATCAGGAGACTAAGTTTAAATTTGAACGGGGTGATTTAAAAATAATTTTAATTAATTTGAGAAAAACCATTGTCGTGCTATTTTATTCTTTAAAAATATTGAGGCTAGTATCCGTACGCACGCCACTGTTGTATTGAAAAATATGCACCATTATTAATTGTCAGCGAATACTAAATATCACTAAAATATCACAAGCGGTTGCGAAAATATTAATTAATTTCTCTTTAACACCCTGTATTTTTGTAACGGAACAATTTTGGACCATATTTTACAAAGCAAACTATCAATAATGTTTCATCAAATACTCTCATATCATTTATTTATTTATTTATTTATTTATTACAATATCCTCGGGAAAGCCCAATTACAGGATAAGGACAAACACAGCAAAATACAGAAAAAAATAATAATACAAAGCAGTATATCTGTTAAGCTATATATGAATGCTCACTGGAAAAAAACCCTTTAGGGAAAAAAAGTAAGCACTCATATGCAGCTATGTTCTAAGATTACACACATGGGTACATATGAAATTATTGACCAAATTCTGGACATCCGTCCTTCCTACAAATTACCCCGAAGAATGGTTTTTTTAATTTCAGCAGCTTTTGTACAAAAAATATCAATACTAGGTTCAATTGAAGAGTAGTCAATGATGAGCTGATTCAACGGAGAAAATTTGTAAATATTTGTCTTATGTGGTAATTCATAAAAAAGACTGTTGGTTCTAGAATTTGGTCTAGGAACTCTGAAATTTAGTGACGATACAATATTATCACATTTAAAAATATAGTTAACAATTTTATATAAAAACATAATTGAATGCATTGACCGACGACGAATTAAACTACAGCTATCAAAACGAATATAAAAGTATTCTTGAGGTGTGCCTCTAGCGGGATAAAGACCGTCCAAGATATAAGAAGCCGACTTAAAGTATCTTCTTTGCACTCGCTCCAAAGCGGAAATATGAATATTATAATTCGGGCTCCAAATAACACAAGCATATTCTAGTTGCGATCTTACAAAAGCCGAAAACAAAAGATTCAATGTATTAATATTATTAAAACATTTCTCATTTCTAAGAATAAAACCCAGCGACCGATATGCTGAAGAGATTGTTTTTTGTATATGAGGAATAAAAGATAACTTTGGATCAAAATAAACACCTAGATCTTTTAGGATATCTGGTCTGTCGAGGATAATATTACTTAAATTGTAATTAAATTGGATAGTTGATTCTTTCCTACAGAAAGACATTACGTTACATTTACTTGGATTCATAGGGAGCTTATTTCTGATACACCAATTATTAACATGATTAAGGTTTCGCTGGAGGTTCAAGCAGTCATTGACGGAGTTTATCTCACAAAATAGTTTAATATCATCAGCATATATATCTTTATCAATATCAAGATCTTCGGTTATATCATTTATAAAAATATTAAAAAGTAACGGACCCAATATAGACCCCTGTGGGACACCGGAAGTTTGAAGAAAAGGTTGAGATTTATATCCTAAAGTTTGAACGTATTGAGTGCGTTCATAAAGATAAGATTTAAATACAGCAATTAACCTGTCATCTATTCCGAATAAGTTAAGCTTATGTAAAAGTAGGCCATGATCAATCTTATCAAATGCTTTAGAAAAGTCAGTGTAGATAATATCAACTTGACTTTTCTTCTCCAGCGTTTCACAAATGAATTGGGTCACGCAGAATAGATTAGTTACTGTGGACCTACCAGATGTGAAGCCATGTTGTTCGGGTATGATAATATTACTGGCATGAAATGCAAGGTGATTATAATAATAATAATAATAATAATAATAATAATTTATTTACCAAAAATAATATAAAAACAATGTATAATGTATATCAAGTTCGTTCGAGATAAATAAACAGAAACACCCACAAAAAGAATCCTTGAGCATGGGTTATTATGGATTACTAATTCGAATACTTTTGCGAAATTGCTTAGAATAGCTACTGGACGATAATTACTTATGTCATTTTTTGTGCCTTTTTTAAATATTGGACAAATTCTAGAAACCTTCCAACAATCAGGAAACTTCTTCAGTTTGAGAATGAGATTAAAAATGGTATACAGAGGTTTACTGAATATAATATATGAACAGTCTTTAACTAAGAACGCCGGAATTAAATCGGGACCATTAGTCTGTTTTGGCTTTAGTTTTTTAGCAGCGACCAAGATTTCGTTTTCCGAAAATTCTCTGATTCTTAGAATATTTTGACTAATGTTTTTATTGTCTAGATGTGAGAAAGTGCCAGAAGGAGTAAAGTTATTGGAGAAAAATGAAGCAAATCCATTAACCACCTCTTGTGGGCCATTATACTCAACATTTTCATGAACCATTTGGGCAGGAATAGTAGAATTGCCCTCTGAGGAATTAATAAATGACCAGAAGCAATTAGGATTGGTTTTAATGTTGGATTCAAGATTATCTGTAAATTTTTTATAGGCTATCCTAGATTCATCTTTAGTGACCGATCTTATATTACTAAAGGATAAATAATCCACGGCAGAGCGACTTTTGCGGTATTTTTTCCAAGCCTTGGATTTAGCTGCAACGAGGTAGATTAAGCTTTTGTCAAACCAAGGAGGATAATTTCTATTATTTATAATTTTAGGTGGAACAAGTTTATCAAAAATGTCATTTAAAATATTGTAAAATATATCAGCAGCTCTATTGATATCATTGCAGGTATTAAGCGGAGACCAGTCAGCATTGGCAATACTGTGGTAAAGGGAGTAAAGATTACATTTTTTAAAGTTTGGCTATAACTAATATCATTAAGAACACTCTGTATATCTGTACATCAGAGCTAGACTAGGTTAAGTCACAATAGAAGAAAAACAAGCGATAGAATACATTTTTACTTTACTGTCTTTTTTAATCACAGAAGATAACACATGTAAAGTTTTAACAAATTATGATAAATATTGGGCGCCAAATAGTCAAATCTATAATATTTAAAACTTAAAACCTCTCTGCTGTAAAATCATCATTTTTGGACTTAACTTAGTCTGGTTCTGACTTCTGACATACAGATATATTTTTTAATAATTTCAAAGATTTATATCTATAAACCCTTAATACGACCCTGTTTACCAGAATAGTTAAGCCTTGGTTTCTTTGAACACTCCGTCGCGATAAGCAGATACTCCGTCGACAGCTGAGGACAGCGATTTTCGCCCAAGTTGGTTTGTTTAAATTATGGAGGGTAGAGAAAAGGAGGACAATCTTATATGGATCTTTATATTAAAAAGTGGCCACCAAAATGTATACAATTAAGATGGCGCTCGTGTAGCCAGGGGACAAAATCCAATGCTATATAGTCATATAGATTGCTCATTCATAATGAAATCAGACAGGAAGCAGTAAATTGATACCTTCGTGCCATTTTAATATATGACTATTGTCGTGTATTGTCAAAATTTATCTACAATCACAGAACACTTACTCTTCTACGATCAGTCACTTTTCACGGTGTAGTTTTTAGTTTTTTATGGTTGAGCAATATTTATTACTATATACATCATTGGTGTCATTGTGTGATCTAAATTATCGACTGTCGACGTCCCCTGGACACAGAAGCGCCATCTTAATTATATACATTTTGAGGGACACTTTTTGTATACAGAGATTGTTCTCCTTTCCTCTACCCTCCATAGTTTAAATATAGAAAATGAGACTTTTTTTATGTCTGTATGTGCTGTTTATGTATTATGAGTAGAAACGAAAGGTACTAAAATGGACTCAAATAAATTGGTTCGTTGCTATTTTTGTTGGAAGAGGAGGAAGAAGAAGAGGGACTGGCAATTGCAACAGTCAAAGTTTCAATTAAGCCAGTGGATAAGTTTGTTTTTGTGTCGCGATACAGAAGGTGCCTTTAATATCACTGTACTGTTGAGTTTTGTAAAGGACGACATTTCCTGTCACACTGTATAAAGGAGGATGTTGTCGAACCAAATCTATTAAGATTTCATGATCTGTATGTGTGAATTTGTCACTAATTGTTTTAAAAATAATAACAATATAATTATTTGTATTCACACACTGTTTCCGCACACTCCGACTATTCCGCCGATATCAAACTCAACAGATATGAACCGACTAGTCGCGACAAATCAGCGGCATGACGCCGTCCTGCTCAGCTAAGCGGATTCGAGAAAACCGTTCCCATTTAAATACTCTGGTTAGATAAAATCGTCAAAACGCGACGGTCGACGGACAGTCCGCTCACCGCGTCGGAGTGTTCAAAGAAACCAAGGCTTAACTTATCTTTAACTTTGATATTCGAGTAATTCTACGTTAAAATTTAATAAGTAAATATTATTGTAATCTAGTAGGTACCTGTCAAATCTCCTGTTTAATCGTATCCTTGTCAGCTGCAACTTTGTAAGCTTTAACTTAATATCCGACGTTAGAATTTTTACCGCAAAAATAGTTGTGGGTATATCTAACATTATAAAAAACACCCAGATATGATATATGATAAATTATCTAACAAAAACGAAAATTAGATAACAAAACCATGGGAAATAATAAAAAAACTAAATGTTCGATATTCGGAATCGAATAGGTATGACAAATAGATTATTTATTTCACGATATTAGTACAAAAGACAGGGAATATTATTCAAACAATTTACAATAACAAAAATAAGTAATTGTAACATTATTATGTATGATTAATTTAATCATTTTTTTATAATTCGTTAAATCTCCGGCATATTTGTTAAATTAAACATTATCACCAAATGGCACTAGGAGTTTTATATTATTTAAAAATTGTGTAATGTGAAATATTTATATATATATATTTTTTATAAATCGATTAGATATCTACGAGGACCGAACAAAATTTTTAGCTCAAAAGTTGTATTATGGATAGGGTTGCCATTCGTCCCGATATATCGGGACTGTCACCGTTATTGACATTCATGTCCCAATTAGAATGCAAAAAGTTCCGTTTCTAAAGAATCCGAGAATTTAGATAATAAATCTGAACTTCTAAAAATATATCAATAGGAAGGAGTTTGTTTTGGTTAAGGGTCCTCCTTGAGTAATTTTGGAGTTTGGCTTGTAAGTAATAGGTGTGTGTCTTGTTTCGTTTTTTTCATCTATGTTGGCTTTCTTGTTGTCGTATATATGTTCATTGATTTCTTTGTAAATTTCTTTGGTTTTCTCTCGGTGTTGTTCTACGTAATTGTTTAATAACATTTTGTTGATATCCATGTCGAAAGGGTCTCTAGTGTCTAAATGTCCATTCAATACTTCGATAGGTTTTAACTTCGTTGTCGAATGTATAGAATTATTGTAACCCAGGATGGCGTATAAGGCATTTGCTCTTTGATGGGAATGGCCGTTTGAGTACTTCTTAATATTCTCAAGTGCTCTACTATTGTGGAATGAAATCTCTCAATGATTCCGTTGGATTGAGGGTTGTCAGGTGTTGTGTAGTGAATTGTAATTTTATGAGCATCAACAAAATCTTGCATAACGCCGTTTTTGAACTCTGTACCACTATCAGCAACAATCATTTTTGGTAATCCATGGTGTGTGACGAAGATTATAAGTGCACCTACTATATTGACTGCAGTTGCGCCTTCTAGAGGGTAGGCTTAACCGTATTTAGAAAATGAACCCACAATTGTTAGGAATTTCTTACCACTAGCTTGGAAGACATCGATGTGAACTACCTCTAGAGGTTTTGTTGGAGTTGGAGTGAGCATAAACTTCAGTTTCGGCGGAGTTCTGTTATATTTATTTTCTTGACATATATCGCAGAAATTGATGGTATCTTCTAGGTCCTTTTTCAGATTTGGTCAGAAGTATCGGTTTCTAATTTGCAGTTCGGTCTCGTTCACACCTCTGTAATTTGTTTCTCCCTTATGATAATTTTCTATAATGCCTTTTTGTCTTTCTGGATTGTTCACGTCTTCTACTAGTTTGTTACGTTTCACTATATCATAGGAGTTGTGTTTGAACATCTTTCTGATAGTTTCGCTTATATAGATGTATAATTCATCGTTTCGAATAGGCATGTATATATTCTTTCTGGCTGCAGAAATTCTTTGAAAAATTTGACTATATCGGCTTGAAGATCGTTCTTTCCCAATTGGACGTGGACTCGTAGTTTATTTGGAAAAAATTGTGATATTGCTGGAGGTCTTGCTTCATAATTTACTGTTTTGAAGATAATTTGCTGATTGTAATAGTTTAAGGGTTTTTCTGAAATTGGGATCCCTAATACGGGATTTTCTATTGCAGCATGTCTTGTATTATCATCGTCTTCGTCTTCTTGGGGACCTACATTTTGTTCTTCCTTTTCTGGTGCTTCTTGTAGGATCTCGTCAATGATTTCGTTAAGTTCTTGGTTTTCGGATTATTGCACATTGACCATGCATCGTCATCGAGATTTTCAAGGAATTTTTCTATACTGGTGTGTACTTCTATTCTTGACAAAGCGTCTGCGTTAGTGTTTGCTTTTCCTTTTTTATAGAATACCTCGTAATCGTATTCTTCTAGTCGAAGCCTCCATCTGACTAACTTCGAACTTTCAGTGAAAATAGATATTGGAGGGGTCGATAATCTGACATTTTGAACTTTCTCCCAAATAGGTAAGGTCTGAAGTATTTAGTGACCCATACTATTGCAAGCATTTCTTTCTTGATCGTAAAATATTTGATTTATGTCTCGTTTAGTGTATCCTAGAGGCGTAAGCGATTGGTTTGTCACTAACAACAGGGCCTTGAGATATAATGGCTACAATAGCAAAGTTGCTTGCGTCTATTGTGAGGGTAAAATGCTTTGTGAAATCGGGATACTGAAGCAATGGTTCGTTGGTCAAAAGGCCTTTGCAGGTGTTAAAACATTTGAGAAACTCTTGAGTATGTTCGATCTTGGAGTCCTTTTTTAAACATTTGGTCAACGGTTCTGTAATCCTAGCAAAATCCTTGATAAATTTCCGATAATATCCAAGGAGGCCTAGGAATCCACGAATCTCTTTGGTTGTTTTTGGAATTGGGTAGTTAACGATGGCTTGAATTTTTACAGGATTGGGTTTCATCCCACTTGGAGTGACGACATGTCCTAGGAAATTTACTTCTTTCTTTAGAAACTCGCATTTGTCTATTTGAATTTTCAGTTTGGTGTCTCGAAGTCGTTGAAATATTTTTGCCAGATTTACCATGTGTTCTCGCAAGGACGTTGGAAAATACAATTACGTCATCCATATACACCAGGCATATTTCTCCTTGCAGTCCTCTTAAAACATTGTCCATGACTCGCTGGAATTTTTTGAGACGAAATGGCACTCTTACAAACTTGTAATGCCAATTTTCTACGTTGAAAGCCGTCTTTGGGATATCCTCTTCTGTCATTTCTATTTGAAGGAATCCACTTGTGTCCAATGTGTTAAAATATTGGCACCGTCCAAGTTTATCCAGGATATCTGGGATGTTGGGTATAGGGTACCGGTCGTCGATTGTTTTGTCATTCACCTTTCTGTAGTTAACCACAATACGCCATTTAATTTTACCTGAGGCATCGGGTTTTTTGGAGATGATCCATATTGGAGAGGAACATAGGGATTGGCTTGGTCTTATAATCCTTTCTTCTAACATGGAGGAAATTTGGTTTCTGACTTCTTTGTTGATGTATGGATATCTGTAGGACTTCGTATAGACTGTTAATTCATCTTTTGTCTTGATATGGTGTTTGATTTCATTTGCAAATGTAAGGGGAGAGTCTGTCGGTGAAATATATCTGAATATTTTCTGCACAGTTTGACGAATATGTTCTTCCTCTTCCACGTTTAAGTGATCTGTTCTTATTAGATCGTCGATAACTTGATTTGAGTTTTGTTGTAGAGATGTTACCATGGAATATAGGTGGTATTCTTCGACGTTGAATTTACGACAGTTTACGGGTTCCAAAAGGGCTAATTGGATTGGATCAGGTGTGGGATTTAAAATTTCTGACCAGACCATTTGGTCATTGGCGGTAGTGAGTGTCTCTTTAATTTCAGCGTTATCGATGTACTGCTTGGGAATAAGGATGGTCCTTTGATCTTCTTTGACAGGCAGTTGGACTCGGGTAATTGAATTTGGTTTCAACTGGATTGAGAAAAATTGAGATTTATTTGTTTCGTAATATTGGATGGGTATGATCGAATTTTCGGTGATCAATTTGGATTCTGGAAAATTCAGTAGAGCTTGAAGAAGTTTTAGGGTGTCGAGGGTTATAAGACCATCAAATGTCTTGTAGAATTTAAAGGTAAAATTATAAACTGTTATTTGAAGAGAACTATGGGAAAAAAGGTATTTCGGCACTGTAATTTTGTGCATAATTTTGGAAAATGGAACTTCGTTTTCGTACGATATGGCTATCATATCCACTCTTGTTGCACAAACTACTATTTTGTTGTTACATTTTTCTTAATAGTTTTACGAGTAACATGTTGAAACACCCTGTATATATAAGACACAGTATGCAAAACATGCTCTAATAGCCCCATAGATTGAACACGTGTTCGAAATTTTCAAAACACAAAGTTGCAAATAAAATAAATTCTTTCGAAAGGTAAAAAATTAGATTTATTGTAACATTTTTCATACATTTTTCCACGTGATCATCAATCTTTGGTAAATACGGCTACCTCACTAATAGTTTGATTTGACATTTCCACGAATTCAACATTTTTGCTTTTATTTTATTGTACAACTAAGTAAAGTGAGTCATTGATTGTGCGCGTGAATATTTTTTAGAATTGTTGTTTTTTCTGGTATAATCATTTAGAAAAATCTCATCTGGTTGTCATATTTTCGCTTAGGTCATCCATCAAATTTTGACTGTAGCGCGAATATTTTTTTAATTAGTGAACAAACAATTATATTTTTAGTTTCAAGGAAGGGATTAATATCAAATGGAAAAAAAGTAGTTAAAAAAAAAATAAAAGAAAGCAGAAATTAAAAATTAAAAAAAACCGACTTCAAAAACGTGCAGATGCCGTCACCACATCTTAACCAAATTTATATGGGACCACTCCTGAGGTACCCCCTTACTAACAAAAAAAGAATCATATAAATCGGACAAGGTAGTAAAGCATTATCGCTAAACATACATAAAAAAAAAAATCGCGACGAATTGAGAACCTCCTCCTTTTTTGAAATCGGTTAATAAAATGAAAATGAACACTCCAATTTTCACTACAAAGTTAAGGAAGCCATTCCACAATCCCAAAGAAAAAACAAACCAAACAAAAATTGTAAAAAGTTGAACCGAAAAAAAGGTGAAATCATCAATCAACCAGGATCAAGTTTTTCAGTCCAGCTTTTTCTTTTATATTTGCTTATTTGGACAAGGATTATATACTGTTGTATAATCCTTGGGGTTGAAAGGATGGATTCCTTAATAGGGGTTGTTTTAAATATAAAAAATGTAAGTATATCAAATAAAAGTAACATACCTTTAGTTTCCAAGAATGGGCGGCTTCGAAAGAATCTCTATCGACGGTCGAAAAGGCAAGGACGCAGGCCTGCGCCCCTCTGTAGTACGCCTTCGTGATGGCGTCGAATTCTTCTTGACCCGCGGTGTCCCACAGCATCAATCGTACATCTTCGCCGTCAACTCTGCAAAAACGTACAAAAAAATAAAAGATAAAATCGTTTTACATATAATTTTTTATTTCAAAGAAATGACAAATGGCGTTTTAGGTCTAAGGGGGAGAATTTTAAGTCTAAGGAGGAGAATTTGAGGTCTAAGGGGGAGTATTTTAGGTATAAGGGAGGTAATTTTATGTCTTAGGGTGATTTTTAGGTTTTGGGGGAATTTTATTTCTGGGGGATTTTAGGTCTAAAGGATATTAGGTTTGGGGGATATTAGGTCTGGAGGATTTTAGTTAGAATAATTTTAGGAGTGGGGAATTTTAGGTCTGAAGTGAGGAGTGACACAGCTCGATTTTTTTGTGAAGTGCACACTCGTCATAATGTGCAGAAACCAAGTTGAGTTTGTAGGCGTGGTCAGACAAAGGACCCCGCACTTTTTATAGGGAAAAATGGTTTCAGTCCCAAGGTTTAATTTTTGGTGGAAAATGTAGATCTCAATATCCTTAACAAAAAAGGTAATGGGCACAAAAAAATCTACCGTCAGGATTTTGCGCTACGGGCCATCATAGAAGGTCGGCACATGGGTTTTCAGGTTTCGGGTCATTTTTATCAACAAAGAGCGCGTTCAGTGGCCGATTATGAAGACATGCATGCCTGGAGGTGTGTTAGAGTGAAAAAAGTACTATATATAATATATATACAAGGTGGACCAATCTTGTGGAAAAGTTCGTCCTTGTTGAAAGAGATATTAAAAAAGTGTATTAAGAAAATTATGGACAGGTTTGAGGTTAACATTTTAAAATTATTGGGAAGTATACAGGGTGTTGCATAGCTCGTGTACGAACCAAACATGTTTTTTTTAACGATAACCCCAGTATATTATTTTAGATTGTTTACTCATCTTTTTTCCATTCTTCTAATATATGGTTTGTCTATGTATATAGGGTACTTTTCAAGGAATTTACATTTTTGTGAGAGAATCGTACATAATTCAACGTCCAGCAGCCAATTACACACAGTAGAAATTTTTTTTTTTTACCCACACGAATTTTATAATATGATGTATTATACTTTTTTTAGTTATATTTTTATTATCTGTTTATTTGTATACAGGGAGACTCAATACTCAGACCCTTGATTTTCTTGTTTTATTTAAATGGGACACCCTATATTTTATATTACCGAAGAACCACTATAAAAAAGCTAATGCGCCTCATTCGGAACCTCAGTAGGTGGTGTGGAAGACCAGAATGGACATTTTTTAATCTCGTTTTTTTTTGGCTCATTTTTTTGGCTTTTTACACAAAGAAAAGTACCATCCCTATAAAATTCAGTTGGTACAGGAGTTATCTGAGGACGATCCAGACCGAAGGCTACAATTCTGTGTACAAATAATGAACAGATGTCAGGCAGATGTGCAGTTTTTACAGAAAATACTTTTTTCGGACGAAGCAATGTTTTACCTAAATGGTACAAGCAATGTTTTACCTAAATGGTACTGTCAACCGACACAATTCTCGTTATTGGAGCAGAGAAAACCCTCATTGGATAATGGAGACTCACACTCAGTTTTCTAAAAAAGTGAATGTGTAGTGTGGTATTATTGAAAATAAAATCATTGGGCCTTACTTTTTTGATGACTCTCTGACAGGTGAAGGATATTTATATTTTTTAACAAATTTTTTGGTACCTCAATTACAAGTTCTGTATCCTGATAATAACAATCCAGATAGAAATGTTTGGTTCCAACAAGATGGTGCTCCACCACATTTTGCACGTGGAGTGAGAGACTACTTGGATGAAGTATTTCCTAACAGATGGATTGGCAGGCGTGGAGCCATTGAATGGCCACCTCGATCTCCCGATTTAACGCCGCTTGATTATTTTCTCTGAGGCCACTTAAAGTCTCAAGTGTATTTAAATCGACCGGAGGCTATTGATGAATTAAAAGAAAGAATCACCGAAGAAATTGAAAAAATTGGCACGTACGTCATACAAGATGTTCTTAAAGAATTAAATAACCGCATTGGTTATTGTCAAGAAGTTAACGGCAGTCATTTTGAACATTTATTACCATAAAATTGTTCCATTATTAATAGAATAGTTAAAAATAAAAATTGATGTTTCTTGAATATAAATGTACAAAAAACAAAAACTCTTATACTGCTGAATAGGGAATTAAAAACCCTTTAAAATGAGGTATCACACGCTACCCCTTTCTATTTAAAAAAATTAAAGGGGTGACTTTTACTCCGTAGGGGTTGAAGGGGAGATAAATAATTTTGTTCAGAAAATGTAATTTTGGAAATAAAAATCGACCTGTTCAAGGATTTTTTTCAAAACGTAATAATAAAGCCAGTAATATATTCCACAAATATGGACCACCCTGTATATATATACTTTTTCACTCTAACACACCTCTAGGCATGCATGTCTCCATAATCAGCCACTGAATACGCTCTTTTTTGATAAAAATTACCCGAAACCTGAAAACCCAGGTGCCGACCTTCTATGGCCCGTAGTGCAAAATCCTGACAGTAGATTTTTTTGTGCCCATTACCTTTTTTGTTCAGGATGTTGATATCTACATTTTCCACCAAAATGAAACCTTGGGACTGAAACCATTTTTCCCTATAAAAAGTGCGGGGTCCTTTAAACGTGATCGAAGCCGCCTGCCGCTCATCACCGCTCATGCAAGTTGAATTCAGTAGCGTAGTGTTACTTATTTGTACTTGTTGCATTTATTTAGCTATTTTGAGTTTCTTGGGTTTTGTGCTTCGATTTTTGAGTTTCCTGAGTTTTTGTGCTTCGATTTGTGTGTATATATAAACTTTAATTTGTTATATTTTTTGAATTCCTAATTAATTATATGTATATTTTGGTAAGTACATTTACAAAACTATAAATATTAATCTCAGAAAAAACCGAACATACTGAAATATTTTAAATACCTTTTAAAACCAGATTTTTCTTATCTTAAGAGCTATTGCTGCAGTAATGAGATAAAAATTCATAAGTTTTATATATTTTATCACCAAGTTCTTAATATTTAAGGTATTGTACGCGATATTATTTTGTTGTTATATAGTAACTTAAACTACAGTTCTGTAGTATGAAATCAACAAAAAAGTATTACCACAACGCAGAAAAAAAAATTTAAAAAAGCCTGAGTATGATCACTGTTTTAAGGATTCGGTGAACATATTATTTCTTGATGAAAAAACTGAAACTAAAATTAAACACTCAGATAAAACAAAAATATTTTTTCAATACAAATTGTAAAGGAAAGATTTCTCTAGAAGTAGAATTAAGAAAGTGGAGTTAGTACTTCATTTTCACAAAGAGGATATACAAAAAGAAGTACAGTTGTAGAATCTATAAAGCCTGAAGAGTTGGAAAAACTCAGAGGTATAATCCATGATTTTCATATTATTGAGAAATGAGAAATGACCAACTCTAAATTGTAAGTTACTATTTTGATTATAATGGCAACGTATTTAATATAAATATTATTTTAGGCATATTACAAAAAATGAAGGATTTTTGTTTTGAATTCCGGGGCAGCATCTCATCACTTAGGAAAATATTATTAAACATGGGTTTTAAGTATAAATAACGTTATCTAAAAAAATCAAAATAAAATAATACCAAAATAATTAATTTCTCATAGTCAATTTTTGTACGTATGTTTATTTTTTCAGGTGGAAAAAAAATTAAGACAACAGATCTGTTCTATTGGAATCCTACGACATTAGGAATAAGAGGACAAATTATTTAAAATCATTAATACATTATCGGCAAGAGGGCAGAACTATTTATTATTGTGATGATACCTATTTAAATAGTAGTCATACACATTCGAAAGGATGGACCAATAGCAAAGGCAAATTCAAAACTCCAATGAGCAAGGGGAAAAGGCTCATAATGTTGCATGCAGGGAGTAAGGATGGTTTTGTAGAAAATGAACTGTTGATATTTACTCCAGGTAATAATCTATTTTTTATAGAAAATTATTTATTATTTGCGTCTTTACCTACTTCATAAAAATCCATGATGCTTAACAATCGAAAGTTATGATCAGCTTAAATTTGATTTAAAATGTTAAAGTATCTAATTAACAAGTAATTTATTAAGTGGTTTATTTTATTATCTTCAGTTTAGTTAAAAGATCTTTACCTGTACTTAATCCTTTATTGTTATACAAGGGAAAGTTTTTAGTAATAACTTTTTCTTAGGATTATTATAATGTCTTATCATCTTGAAGAAATATTTCTTCTAAAAACAGATTATTTTTTAAGTGATTTAAAATTCCTAATAATTTTTGCTTAACTAAGCAATTATTTCATTTAAAAGAGTTTTTTTGTAAGTTTAAGTATCATACAAAAATAATTATGAAAAATATACCTGCATTATAGATAATAAATTCTTTTTTACTTTTTTTCAGGGAAAAGACAGGAGATTATCATGGTGAAATGAACTGGAATAATTTTTCCCAATGGGTTAGAAGGTAGTTACTATCAAATCTTCCTCCAAGGTCTGTACTTGTAATCGATAATGCAAGTTATCATAATGTAAAATCTGAAAAATCGATTACAACGCAGACCAAAAAAGCAGATTTAATTAACTGGCTCGCTTAAAACAATATACCACATGATGCTAAAATGACCAAACCAGAACTGTACACATTAATAAAAGTTCACAGAACTCCACCGAAATTTCTTTTAGACGATCTTCTCGAAGAACATGGACACAAAGTTCTACGATTACCTCCATATCATCCCGAATTAAATCCCATAGAAAAAATATGGGCCACAGTAAAAAATTGGGTGGGTCAACATAACACAACATTCAAGTTGGATAATGTTGAAAAGTTGGCAAGAGAAAAATTCCGAATCACAACGCCGGAGGAATGGGCAAACGTGGTGGACCATTCCGCGAAATATGAGGATGCATATATTCAAAGAGAACACCTTATGGATGAATTTACAGATTCCCTCATATTTAGTGTAAACACGGGGTCATCCGATGAGTGGGAATCCGATATTTCCGACTTGGAAGATGATGAAAATGTTTAAAATTATACAAATTAAATTAAAATATATTATTTATTTAAACTTTTATTTGTTTTATTAATTTAAAGTTCATCAGCAATTTAACTAACGAATAGTTAAAATTTAACATTAACTCATAATATGTTCGATTTTAAATATTTTATTAATGTACACATGCCACTGCTAAGATATCAGGTAGGTACCCCTACCGCAGCAGATTTCAGCCCAGCGCCATCAACCAAAGCTCCACAAAGTTGCAAAGTGGCATAGCTATGACGAAATGTGCTCTTCACAAAAAAATCGAGCTCTAGTAGAGAAAAAGAAAACAAAAATACCTAATAATATGCTGTATGCTGTAAGCAATTGGCAGAATAGATAATTTCATTCCCCGTGGGCACGCTCATGGAAATTTAGCGTAAACGCGAATGAGTCCAAAAGATACTTCATCAAGAACTCAATAAACTAAAAATTTCATTGAAATCGATTAAAACGTTTTCAAAATATTGAATAAAAATATGTTTTATTTAAAACACTCTGTATTTCGGTAACGAATAGTTTTTGGACACAAATTTATTAAGCAAAAAGTGTTTGTTTAATGTCCCCTACTACCCTTAAAAATTTTTCGGTATATTTACGGGTATATATTTAATTAAATTATTTTCGAATTGATTTTTTACATTTTCCACTTGGACAATTTGCACACCGATTTCGTTGGAAATAAATCAAGATAATTGTACAGCTGATGAATCACAGGTAATGCATAAATTCGTTTTAATTGTATTTACAAAATCCTGCCAAAAAGTGAGTCGTTTTCATCAGTCTGAGTAGGTACGAAATGTGGATGATTTCCAATCTTATTTCTCTATTTGCGCTTTGACGAGTTATGCCAAAAATTTACTTTCATCCTTCAAGTGTATGTTGTTTCATCTCGTATTTATAAATATTATTGGTAATTTTTTAAAAAATAACGTGACTTATACGTAATCATAAAACAAACATGAATTTTAAAAAAGAAGATAAGTTTAATATTCTTCTGACTTTTCATTGCTTGAGATCCAATGGATAAAATATATACAGATATATACAGATAGCATATTTGTACTATTATAATATAAAACAGAGATTAGTGTTGTTATAAACCCATTTTATTCATAAGTAATGCTTTCCCTTTACCTTATATTAAGTTCAAGTCTAGTTATTGACGATCTAAGATAAATGTAATGTCAAATGTCAGATGTGAAAAGAGACGAAGAAGGTTGTTCTGTGTCTCTGATGTAGATGATAAAGAATGGTTGTCTCTGGTATTAATAATAATTAGAACGCTGTTTGCATATTTATTGTCTTTATTAAATAAACGTTATATAAGTGATCTACTGCGTATTAATATACTGGACAACAATTAGGGACATACTTCTCTGATCTAAAATTTAGAACCGTAGGTTTATGTTTTAAGACTTGACAAACTGTATATTTTCATCAGTATGGCCAATTATCCAACTGTTCAAGAAAGTGTGTAAGTAGATATTCAAAATTCAAAAACTCACAATTTACAGTATAATGTTTATAGTGGTAATCTATGACATTATTGGATCAAATAAAAATGTTAAATCATTGCATAATGCAAGATTTATTTAATTTTTTCTTGTTCGCGGTTGTCCACAAAAGTATTCCTATTTTTTTTTTCTCCTAAATCTGTCACATTGTCCACAAGTTCAAATCTACGATTAGAATTCCTGATAATTAGTTTTATATTTGAAATAATTTAAACCGATATCATTGAAGTGTGAAATCTGTTTGAAATAATATTTTATATTACTGTAATTTTGATCAACGCCGTCTATGGTTTACACTTATTCAGAATACCTATATTTGCTTTTTATTACATACTTTTCCATATCAATTTTCTTGTAAACCCGATGTCGTGGAAAGTATTACAAAGTAGACAATCACGCTATTTTATTATTAAAATAAGCTCGTTGATATAATGTGCAATCATAGGATCACGACATCTTTGTAAGTACTTGATAGAAATAGCAATTCTGGGTAACCTAGAATCGATATTACCACGACCGCAATTTATTCTGCAAATGTAGTGAAAATTAGTCATTTTTGTATTATAATAATTATTATTTTATAAAACTTTCAACTTACTCTATTTGTCTTTCTAAAAAATCTACGCCTATGGTTTTTTTGTAATCCTTGGTGAACGTTCCCTTGCAGTATCTTTGGATCATACTTGACTTGCCAACCCCACCATTTCCCACGATGACCACCTGCAATAAAACATAAACGAATCAAAATACAAATCAATCTGTCTAAATTAAATTTATTAGTTATCATCTGTAAAATTCGCCAGGATTTGTCTGGTTAAAATTATAGAAAACTCTTTTTAACAGACTTCAAAAAAGGAGGAGGTTTTCAATTCGTCGCATTGATTCTTTTTTTGTTAGAAAGGGGAAACTTCAGGGGTGGTCTCATATAAATTTGGTCAAAATCTAATAATTGGGTTCATGAGAAAATCCTTTACCACCTTGTCCGATTTATATGATTCCTTTTTTGTTAGTAAGGGGGTACCTCAGGGGTTAAGATGTGGTGATGGCATCTGCACGTTTTTGAAGTCGTTTTTTTTAATTTTTAATTTCTAATACTTGTAAAATAGATCGTTTGTTAAATTTCAATTTATCAGTTATCATCTGTCAATCGCCACGAGAATTTTCTATAATACCGTCTGTCAGATTTCAATTTATCAGTTGTTATCTATCAATCGCCAGGAGTTATGTGTATAAAACGCCGCGTTTGAGAATCCACATCGGATGCATCTGAGATGTAGTAAATCTTTGATCACGTGATTCAGTATACGTAAATGTAATGGGACAGATGTGTCCGATGTGGATAAACAAACGCTCGAGATGTAAAAAATGCATCGGATGTGGATTTTCTAACGCGGCAAAAGTATATAAAACTTTTAAAACAGAAATTTGCTATACTAACGTCTGTCAGATTTCAATTTATCAGTTGTCATGTCTTAGTAGCCAGGAGTTGTATATAAAACTCTTTTAAAACCGAAATTTGCTATACGTGTGTCTTTTTTTCTACCGGTTTGTTGGAATCGTTGTTTCACCGATGCGACCTTGAACGCCTTGTGTTGGATTCGATTTATTTATATTTGACCGTTGAAATAAATAACAGTTGACATTTTGGATTAAAATTTGTGTTTATAATTTTATTTGAATGTACCTAGGTACCTTAATTTGGATGTATATACAGTATGGTTCAAATGAAAGGAATAAATTCATTATAATGGAAGTAGTTGGTTTTTCGAAAAAATGCTCGGACAGGTCAATTTTGTTTACTTAAAGCGCAATTTTTTAAATAAAATTCAATTTTCCCCCACTTCCCATTTTTGGGCAGTGACGTCATTGACAATTTTTTTAAATAGCAACCCCAATTTTTTTTTCTTGATTTTGATAGATCTTGCAATTTCCTACTCGGAAACATAATATTTTAAATATCTGACATAACAATTTTTTTTGAAAAAAAATCATTTAAAGATCAGATACATACATTTTATGTTATTTTGAAACACAATAAATTAATAAAAGATGATTATTTGTAATTAAGTGCTTAATCTAAAAAAAAAAATAAAAATAAAAAGAATTTAATAATTTCATAAATTCTTTTTATTATTATTATTATTATTCCCATGAATATTTTTTATACTTAAAAAAAATAACACATTTTTTTGACAAATTTTATAATACCTATTTAATGGCAAACAATAAAAAACAACAATGAACTAAAATACAACAAACTACTTATTGATATTTATTATTCGCGAATTTAATATCCGGCTTTATCTGACATTTATTTATATTGGTGACAGTTGTTTACCCCGTAATCACAGTAACAATATATTTACTTGATTATTCTGAGAAAACCGCGCGCTTGGTAATTTGTCGTTAAATGTAATATTTTAGGTATGTTCAGAACGAAACAGAGATTTATTAACTTTGATCGAAATATGATGGTTGTAAATAAAATAGTATATAAACCTCGGTAGGAAGTTTCATTCCTGTCTCGAGATCATAGCTAACTCTTCCCACCTCGGTGTGTAATATACTATTACAATATTAAAGAAATGAAGTCAAGTCATATTCCCTATATATCGCTGTTCCAGAATAACAATGACGTAACTGAAAAATTAGGGTAAGTACTTCACTGTTCTCAAAAATATGTAATACATTCGTGAGAACAACGACGTAACTGTAGTTGCTTTAATGGTCTCTAGACCAAGTTACGCCGTTGTCGAAATATCAGCTGTTTGTGACATAATTTCAGAAGAACATCGCCGAATAATTCAGTTCTGTCTGATGTTATCAAGTATATGTTAGTGTCCGGTGGAACAACGACGCAATTGTAAAATTTCGCGTAAGTTGAACCACTTTAACTGTAATTCCAGTGCGACAACGACGTAAGTGTACTTTGTTTAGTTTCATATAAATGAATCTACAATCTTGCTTAGTTTTTGACACTGTTTTGTTTCAGCTAAGTACCTAGAAACTATCTAATAAAATGATACCTATTTTAGAAGGAAATTGTCTAGAACTATTTTTTTTTGTTTCCTTTCTGTCCAAATTTGTTACTTTGAGTCATAATTTTAGCAGAACAATGACGCATTTGCAAAAGAAAGTGATGGTGGAGGTACGGCGTAAATTTTAACAAAAAAAATATTTTGATTTTCATTGTGAGCCATATTGTAACCATTTGACCGAGTCCCAACTCCATACGTTAATTAACGTTTGAATTATAGAGTTATTAAAAAATAAATTTTAGTTTTTGCGTTTCCTGAACAATTATCATTTTGGCAGTTACGTCATTGTTCTTCTGGAACAGCGATATGCCGACGCCTGTGCTAATATAACCTTATTTTGACCAGTGATATGGCAACCTAGAGATGTGACGCAAATTTTGATCAGTCCGCTACATTGTTTAACTCAATTTGTCAATTTTATTGGTTATATTTCCTATAGTGTCATGTGTGTAATTAAAATTAATTTGTATTTATATTTGAACGATTTTTTAGTGTTAAAAACTTGATAAATTGCATAATGCGTCACTGTGTTATACGTTTCTGCTCTAAAAAATAGCAAAAAACGAGCAATTATCGACATTTAACCACTCTTTAAATTGATATCGATCATTTAAAGTTTTATCATATATGGTGTCGCTTTTCAATTAATCTTATATGATGTATGAAACGATAATAATGGGTTAAGGCACCAGGGAAATTGATGTATCATCTCAAACAGCTGCTAAAATAAATACCTTCGTAAATACCTTTCATACAGGAAGATGATATATATTGTCGATTAAAATATATGTGGTATAATTTGTTAAATTGGAAGCTATTTTTTTAATGATTTGCAATTTTGCATTTTCAAGCATTTTACTTACTTAACCGTAAAAGTACCAACTTGAATTCCACGTGTGTGTCTGTAAGACTCACTTTTGTTTTTTTATGTTTACAAATGTTCATAACATCATAAAAGTGATATAAAATAACTTTATTGAGCATTAAAAACTACATTAACGTTCATAATTTGTTGCACAAACTTGAAATTACTATAAATTATTTTATAAATAGGCAACCAATTCTACTTTGTTGAACGTAATGTTGCCTATTCTAAAGGAATTTAAGTTTTAAAGTTCTAAAAATTCATTTTCATTGAGAAATATATGAAAAAAAGTCCAAAAATACGTTGTAATGGTTTTAGAACTATGATATCCTAACAATGATTAAAATTAAAACGCATGTGTTTTTTGTTTAATTACAGAAAAAAGAAATCTAAACATTTAGTTGTCAGAATAATGGTTCCGCTGACTCGTTTTACTCCTTTTTCAACAATGACTATTGAATAAGGAATAATAGAAAAAAAATGTATATTTAATTATTGACGTGTTAACTGATTACGCCACCTAGTCCTTTGTATTTGAAGAGCTCGATTTATTTATTTTGTTAATTAGTGTTTCAACTCAAGTGCAAGAACCTTTGCTTCACGGTTATTTTATCTCATTTACAAATTAGATTTAGAAAAAAAAAGTGAGACGGTTTATAATTCATAATTAAATTAATTGTTATTCATCGCCGGATGGATGACCATAAGAAAACGTTAAAAAAACTATACTTATTAACGTGTTATTATGAAATAAATTATTACCTAGTTGAATTAATAGTGTTTAATTTTGATGTTATAACACTTTCTTACTGCCTTTTTTATGATCTATATCTGTAACGTGCGGAAGGTGGGTTGCCCTACGGCACTTAGGCCCCACTAGATTCATTGTGCAGCCTCCTGAATTGTTAGGCTCCTCTTAGCTCGTTAACCAGCCTGCAAATTTAATATAATTGGCAACGTCGCCGAGAAGTGCTGGCCAAAACTGATAGAACACAAACCGTCTATACTCGGACAAAATATTGAAGAAGGTGATTCCTTCCTGTTCACGTACAACAATCATACTATACCAGAGCATAATGAATGGAATTACGCGCTTAAAACTGCAGAAGTTATCGGAATCACGTGCCAACTAGTCATAAATGCATGTTTATTGCCAAAATAAATTAAGCCAGTGGCGTATAAAAACTATTGACAAATTAAATGCGGTAATAGTAAATAATATTATATGAAAGTAGGTTGGTTATCTATTTTTGTAGTAATAGTCATTTATGTTTATAATGTTGTTTTGTTTATTGTTAAAATATGTAAATATTATGCCAGTGGCGTAGAAACACTATTGGAAAATTAAATGGAGTATTATACTAGAACAAAATATTGAAGAAAGTGCGCCTTAAAACTACAAATGGTATCGTTATCATATCAAAATGCACTCTTCCAGTGTCGCAGAAATACTATATTGGCAAATTAAATGGGTATTTGTGAATATTACTAGATGAAAGTAGGTTGGTTATCTATTTTTGTTATAATAATTCATCTATGTTTATAATTGTATTTTGTTTATAATAAAAATATGTAAATTAAGCTTGGTATCACTTACTTACTCTGCAGAACTATCACTGGAATCGTCTTTATCGTCGGAACTTAAAGTTATGAATAAAGGTTCAACTACCGTTTCGATCATACCGTCCAAGCGCCACATATTATTTTCTTCCTTAATTACATGGGAAATAGGATTCTGCCAATATTCAGGTTTTATACGTTCTATACCGGTTTTTAATAAACTTTGAACGTCGGCTATTTTAAAAGTTTTATTTTCT